AAAATAAAAGAAAAATAAAAAGAGAAAATTTAAAATGTTAAAAAAATAAAAAATAAACTAAAAAAAGGGAAGTCAAGGAAATTTTTTAATACTAAAATTAAGATATTTTATCATGAATAAAAAATAACATATAATTAATTAATACCACTTTCAAAACCAACGTCATAAAAGTATTAATGCTTTTCATATATAACTTATTCATATATATAACTGAATTCTCATATCCAATTTTTTTTTAAGATTTAAAAATTATATTTTTAATAAAATTTTAATTAATTTTAAAATTTTGTTAAAAAATAAATTTTAATAGATAATTAATTACACTTAATAAAAAAATTTGATGATAACCTTTTATTTATAAAATTCGTCTACCGTTATGACATTTTATGACTACGACAGATGCTGTAATATTGCCCGCACGTGTCCCCTTTCCGCGAGAGTATCCTGATATAGCCATTTTTACCTTGTTTGGTATAATAAAACCTAGGTAGCTGCCTCTACATAAGAACGGTAGCTAAAATGATATAAATAGATCTCTTTTGTTTTAAAAAAAAGAAACTTTCCACTTTGGCCACAGCTCTTTCCCAAAATCATCTAGTCATATTCTGCATCAGAGTCTCATGAAGAACGTGATACTTAAAGGTGGCAACATATCTTTTAATTTATACAAAACACTTATGACTCCATTATTATAGATACATTTCCAGCTCCATCCACAAGCAAACAGAAAGGGGAAAAAGGACTATCAATATTGCACAAAATTAAGGATATGGCATGCGCATTCAAGGCAACCTTCGCAAGATATAAGCCCCATTTAATCATGCTTTTATATCTCAGATTGGTTATGCAATCGAGTATTTCTTTACTGAAGCTGCCTTCAGTTAAGGACTGAATCCACATATCTCTGTCACTTATCGATATTGCCTAGCTGGTTGTCTGATGTTTCCTTTTGCCTATTTTCTTGAAAGGTAGGTTATACAAACACTTGTCAACTTCAACCTTATTGAACCTTTAAGTACAAGAAACACTTATTTAAACTATATATATGGTAGAAGACTGTATAGTGTAAAATCAGAAACTCAGGTTTTTTTTTTTTTTTGAGAAGTTTGTCTGTCTACCTGATCTTTCCCTGCAGAAAATCAAGACCAAAGTTTACATTGCCACTGTTATTGGAGTTATTTTTGCTTTCTCTCATAGGGTAGAGTAAATTATAAATACTTCTCTACTTCTATTTAATGCCAATTAGATTCTATGACTTTGAATTATATATGTAAAAGCACTCATAATTTTTCTCCTTATTTTATCTCCTTGATGGAAAAACAGAAACTGCTTAACCCTTCACATGAACTTTGCAAGTTTGAAATCCACATCTCCAGCATTTGTTGCATCTCTTTTCAACACTGTTCCCTCCTGGACTTCTGTACCAGCCATCATGCTCAGGTGGCGACTCAGACTCTATATACGCACTATGTCTTTTCTTTAAAAATCTTATGAAGAGTTAAAAGAGATTTCATAACTTCTCTACTTTAATGCCAATGAGATTCTATGACTTTGAATTATATATGTAAAAGCACTCATAATTTTTCTCCTTATTTTATCTCCTTGATGGAAAAACAGAAACTGCTTAACCCTTCACATGAACTTTGCAAGTTTGAAATCCACTTCTCCAGCATTTGTTGCATCTCTTTTCAACACTGTTCCCTCCTGGACTTCTGTACCAGTCATCATACTCAGGTGTTGACTCAGACTCTATATATGCACTATGTCTTTTCTTTAAAAATCTTATGAAGAGTCAAAAGAGATTTCATAAACAATCTTCTTTATGTGCAGGATGGAGCTTGTTGACGTAAAGAACCCTCGTGGGATAGCTAAAATCCTTTTAACCTTAAAATCTTTGGCAGGGGTAACGGCCGTCACTTTGTACAAAGGACCTGCAGTGCATAGCTTGTGGGGTGCTCCAATTCACATAAAAAGACTTTCTGTTCATGAGAACTGGCTAAAAGGATCAATCCTTGTTGTTGCTAGCTGCATAACATGGGCTACATGGTACAGTATGCAGGTAATTAGTTAACTAACTTATAATAAGTTTGGTTCCTAATAAAAATTCGGATAGTTGTGTTTATTGTCACTAAGTGTAAACCTTTAATTTAGGCAATAACTTTGAAGAAATATCCTGCACAAGTGTCACTAGCAGCATGGACGAACTGTATTGGGGGAGCACAATCGGCTGTGTTTGCAGTGTTCTTACAGATCGGCATGGTCAATCAAAATGTTCAGTGTTAATTTCTGGTCCATTACGTATTCTGTAAGTAATTTCATTCTTCATAAAACAGTTTAAATGTATTTGGTCACAATCATGTCCTACCAGGTAGGATGAAATTGAGTGCCAGGGAATATGCTCTGCTGGTTTTGTCTTCCTTCAACTTTGGTGCATGAAAGGGAAAGGACCAGTCTTTGTGGCCATGTTTAATTCTCTCCAAACAGTTATGGTGGTGGTTCGAGCATACTTTGTTCTTGGAGAAAAACTATACACCAGCAGTTAAAAAATAAAACCCATTGCTTATTTTAAACTTGTAAAAAGAAACTATCACCACACTGCTATGGAACCTCTTTAATATTTACTTGACCATTCACCATAATAGGTTGAGTTCTTGTTATCATTGGTCTATACTTGTTATTGTAGGGCAAGGAAAAAGATCAGTCTTTCGTCAAGAGCCAAGAGCAATCTTCTTCACATTGTGATGAGATGAAGATAGCTGAAAAGGAGGAGGTAGCTTCAGCCGAAAAAGAGGAACCATGAAGGAAATGAAAAGAATTTCAGATAAAAGAGGACTATCAGATGCATAGCAAAGAAACTTGATTTACTTTTAACAGCTTCCATAGAGTATCATCAATATATATATAAGTTGCATGCAATAATTAAACTGTTAAGTTATGTGAAGCTTATGGATTGGTCCCTGAGTACTTGTTGATTCTGTATTCTGAAATCATTTGTTTGCCACAAAGACCATGCATGGTTTTTTTTTTTTTAATTAAAACAGTAAAACAGATTTTTATAATACAAAAAACTGGATTTGTTGCATTGTTTTTGTATCCTCTCCTCTTTCTAAAACAGTTGCCAGTTAAGCATGAAATTTTTTACTTTTAACAAGAGAACTTACATTGAGGTATACGTATAATAGTATCTGAGGGCATCAATTTGGTTTCAAGCCTGTTTCAAGTGTCAACCGAAGTCCGAATATTATGAAACTTATAAATAGCAGCTAGTTGGCTTTGGCGATGCTTGCTTTTTCTTTTTTTCTGGTAACTTTCATGGTGGGCTATATACGAATGCCACTCAGAAGTAGTGCTCACACTGTTTTAGATAACCTGCAAGGCAAAAACTGGCGATGACAAATGCATCCTAGAGGCAAGAGCTACAAGGAGGACTTCTAGGGAGGTTTGTAAAGAACCAAGTACTTGGATAAGCAGAAGTATTGAGAGCTTATTATATGATTTGGAACCTTGCTCATACAAGATTACCGCACTGCTAACCGTGCAATTTACAATTTCTTGATTGCTGTATAAAACTTGTGAAAAACGAGATTATATGTTACACATTTTTGTATCACAAGTTGAATCTGACGCATAATTGCATAATTTTTACAGGCAGTCTTTCTTGCATAAAAAAATGAGAAACATTATTCAACTATCAAAAGAAAATATTTTAAATCGGTAACACAGTAAAATGCCATGATTGAAAGCACCGAGATGGTCTCAACCCCATCTTTCTGCACCTAAAGGATGAGGGGAAGAAAAGACTAAGCAACAAGAACAATATTAAATTTGAAGTCATCATTATTTACTTAGTGCTACTCCAACTTGCAAAATTATTCATTTTTTTATTTTTTTTTTTAACATATGAAGATAATAGGTTATCAGAAACCACAAAAGCAATTCTTTTTGGAAACACTACATTCAGTGTTATTGAAACGTTACAAGTTAACTTTGCAAGATTTGCAAGACACTAAGAATTTCATATTGAAAGAATATAAAGATATGATATGATAATATATATAAAAACTTAAATTCATATTTTATGAAATATTTTTTATGAGATAAAATTATAAAATTTTCAATCATAATGAATAATATCTTTCATATTAGATGTGAGTCCTGCAATCTCAATCTCATATCAAAATATTTTAAAAATCGGTTACAATATATAAATAAAAACTTAAACCTATACTTATAAGGCATGTTTTATAAGATAATATAATGGAACTTTCAAATCAAAATAGATAATATCTTATAAATTGAATGCAGGTTTACAAAAATAGTATTAAAATATTTATCAATCATGAGGTAAAGTATTATATCATGAGAGCTATTTTTAAAATCTCAATATTTAATGTAATTCTAGTTCTATGTTTATTTTGTGATGAGTTTGACAAAGACTTCAAATTTTAATAAAGAAGTTTATGATATTCCAATTTTTATTTAGATTTTTTGAAATTTTATTATAATATATATGTAGAAACTTAAATTTATAATACTGGCTTTTGAGATGCTTTTGTGAAATACACAAAATAGATCTATCATACTTTTAGATAAAAAGGGACAATAATTTGCAAGTTAGTTCAAAACTCCACAAAGATGACATTTGTGTCTGTAAGTATGACAGATGCTACAATTTTACCGTCATGTGTCCCTTTTCCTCGAGATTAATCCTTATGTAGCCATTTGTACTTTGTTTGGTATAATAAAATCTAGGGAAGCTGCCTCTACATAAGAAAGGTAGCTAAAATGATATAAATCTCTATTGTTTTAATAAAGAAACTTTCCACTTTGGCCACAGCTCTTTTGCAAAATCATCTCGTGATATTCTGCATCAGAATCTCGTGGAGAACGTGGTACTTACAGGTGGAAGCATATCTTTTAATTTGTGCAGAACACTTATGACTCCATTATTAATTATAGATGCATTTCCAGCTCCATCCACAAGCAAACAGAGAGGAAAAAGGACTATCAATGTTGCAGAAAGCTAAGGATATGGCTTGCATAATTAACGCAACCTTCGCAAGATATAAGCCCCATTTAATCATGCTTCTATCTCAGATTGGTTATGCAATCGTGTATTTCTTTACTGAAGCTGCCTTCGGTCAAGGACTGAATCCACATATCTATATCACTTATCGATGTTGCCTAGCTGGTTGTCTGATTTCTCCTTTTGCCTATTTTCTTGAAAGGTAGGTTATACAAACACTTGTCAACTTCCACATTATTGAACCTTTAAGTACTAGAAATACTTATTTAAACTACATGGTTGAAGACTTTATAGTGTAAAATCAGAAAGCCTTTTTTTTTTTTTTTTATTGTGAGAAGTTTTTCTGTCTACCTGATATTTTCTTTCCCTGCAGAAAATCAAGACCAAAGCATACATTGCCACTGTTATTGGAGTTATTTTTGCTTTCTCTCATAGGGTAGAGTAAATTATAAATACTTCTCTACTTCTATTTAATGCCAATTAGATTCTATGACTTTGAATTATTTATGTAAAAGCACTCATAATTTTTCTCCTTATTTTATATCCTTGATGGAAAAACAGAAACTGCTTAACCCTTAACATGAACTTTGCAAGTTTGAAATACACTTCTCCAGCATTTGTAGCATCTCTTTTCAACACTATTCCTTCCTGGACTTTTGTACTTGCCATCATATTCAGGTGGAGACTAAGACTATATATGCACTATCTCTTTTCTTTAAAAAACTTATGAAGAGTTAAATTTCATAAACGATCTTCTTCAAGTGCAGGATGGAGGTTGTTGATGTGAAGAACCCTCGTGGGATAGCTAAAATCCTTGGAACCTTAATATCATTGGCAGGGGTAACGGCCATCACTTTGTACAAAGGACCTGCAGTGCAAAGCTTGTGGGGTGCTCCAATTCACATAAAAAGACTTTCTGTTCATGAGAACTGGGTGAAAGGATCATTCCTTGCTGTTTTTAGCTGCATAACATGGGCTGTATGGTACATTATGCAGGTAATCAGTTAAATAACTTTTAGATAAGTTTGGTTCCTAATAAAAATTCGAATAGTTATGTTTATTGTCACTAACCGTAAACCTTTTAGGCAACTACTTTGAAGAAATATCCTGCGCAAGTGTCACTAGCAGCATGGACGAACTGTATTGGAGGAGCACAATCGGCTGTGTTTGCAGTGTTCTTACAACACAAGCCATCGGCATGGTCAATCGAAATGTTCAGTGTTAATTTCTGGTCCATTACGTATTCTGTAAGTAATTTCATTATTCGTAAAACAGTTTAAATGTATTTGGTCACAATCATGTCCTAAGCCTGGTAGGATGAAATTCAATGCCAGGGAATATGCTCTGCTGTTTTTGTCTTCCTTCAACTTTGGTGCATAAAAGAGAAAGGACCAGTCTTTGTGGCCATGTTTAATTCTCTCCAAACAGTTATGGTGGTGGTTCTAGCATACTTTGTTCTTGGAGAAAAACTATATAGCGGCAGGTAAAAAGTAAAACTCATTGTTCATTTTAAACTTGTAAAAAAAAAACCTATAACTACACTGCTATGGACCCTCTATAACATTTACTTGACCATTCAGCATAATAGGTGGAGTTCTTGTTATCATTGGTCTATACTTGCTATTGTGGGGCAAGGAAAAAGATCAGTCTTTCGTTAAGAGCCAAGAGCAATCTTCTTCACTTTGTGATGAGATGAAGATAGCTGACAAGGAGGAGGTAGCTTCAGCCAAAAAAGAGGAACCATGAAGGAAATAAAAAGAATTTCAGATAAAAAAGGAAGATCAGATGCCGTAGCAAACAATATTTATAAGTTGCATGCAATAATCAAACTGTTAAGTTATATGAAGCTCGGTCATCAATGTATATAAGTTGCATGCTATAAATATATATAAGTTGCGTGCAATAATCAAACTGTTATGTGGAGCTTAATTAATATATTGCATAGCAAATATTTATTTATTATGTGGGTTTTCTGCCTGGAAATCTTAGCCGAAACTGCCATGGTGTTGACACGTGCGTGACCACTAAATTGATCCGTCACGTCCCGGCGATTCCCTAAAAGGTATGTTTGGACAGTTGCATAAACGGTTATTATTAATTACGGATATCCTATTCCCACGCCCGTTTTTTTATGTACCCGAACGTATGAGAGAAAGCTGAAATGGAGTGAACCCAACAATGGGAATGAGCAATCAGAGGCCCAACAAATGAAGAGAGTTTCAAATTTGTTGGAAAAGGCCCCTTCTGATTCAATCATCTGACATTAAAATCTTAGAGGTGAAGTTTTTCATTAGAAAAAAAAAGTTCTGCCATTACCAAAACCAAAGCAAAAACAAAAGACAGAAGTCGGTCAACCAAGGGTTTGGGCACTTACAGTCAAAGATGGTCTCAGTCCCACTTTTCTGGTCCCAAAGGATGGAGGGGAAGAAAAGATTAAGCAACAAGAAGAATCTTAAATTTCAAGTTATCAATAATTATTTAAATGCTGCTTCAACTTGCAAAATTATGCATTTTTTTATTCAAATATCTGACGATAATAGGTAATCTGAACCCACAAAAGCAATTCCTGTACACAAATACTACATTATTTCAGTATCATTGAAACATTACAAAGTTCATTTTGCAAGATGACAACAATGGCCGATACTAATATGCTCTGTGATCGAGAGACTAATTCTAATCCCAATCCAGCCATTTTCACTTTTGTTTGGTATGATAAAATTAAGGTTATCAAACTCAAGGAGAAGTTACTCAACTCTCATTATTGTGTTTGCTTTTCCCATGTACCGTATGAATGGGAAGAACATGATGGTGGCTAAAACATTTTGCCTGTTGCAAAAGTAGTTAAATATTTTCCACTCCACAAGGATGGTGGGGGAGAAAATTATAAGCAATTAGAAGAATATTATTATTTAAATTACCATTATCTTAGTAGTGCTCCAACTTTTCAAAATCATTCAAGTTATTTTCTTTTGAATGATTGAAGAGGATAGTTTGTCAAAAACCAGCAAAAGGCTTGCAGTAGGAAATAATACACTCAACAGTATTTTTCTTGGCATTGCAGAATTCACATTTCAAGATGACATTTGTGCCTATATAACTATGAATGATGTTAACATGTTCTGTGTCCCATTTATTTCAGACAAATCCGAACGTGACAGTTTTTAACAGTTTTTACTTTGTTTGGTATAATAGAATTTAGGCATGAAATTCAAGGAGAGGTCAAATTCTCTGATGTTTATTATAGAATTTTCACTGTACTTTAATGGGAGAGAAGAAGAACACTATGGTGGGCTAAAATATTTTGACTGTTCTAAAAGTTTTTTAATATTTATACTTTGCAACAAGATTCCACACCCTGAAAAGTATAATGAAAAAGGTTTGACAGTACTGAGAAAGCTAGTCCTACAGGATAAGAGTCATAAAGGTCGCTAAAATAATTCAAATCTCAGATACTCTAATTAATTTTCGCAGTTTTTCCGCAACCATTAAATATTAAAACATGAAAGCACATTTTATTGCTACTGTACTGTAATAGAACTTGATGTCATTTCAACAATAGCATATAGATGGCTTTCCTGCTCCATTTATAAGCAAACAGAAAGAGGCAGAAAGGCCACCATTAGACAAGCAAAAGATATGGCCTGCGCATTGAAGGCTACCTTTTCTAGATCCCCATCTAAGAATGGTTCTAGTGCAGATTTTTTCTGCAGTTGTCTATTTCATTACAGAAGCTGCCTTTCAACCAAGGGTTAAATCCAAATGTCTATGTCACTTTTCGATTTAGCCTAGCTGGTTTGGTGATGTTTCCCTATTTTCTTGAAAGGTAGATTATACAAACACTTATCTACTTCTACCTAGTTGTACCCTCTAATTGATTTTACATTTTTTATGCAGAAAGTCGAGGCCAAAGCTGATATTAGCACTGTTTTTGGAGATATTTTTGGTTTCTTCATTGGGGTAGACAATAGCTACTCTTTTGTTTCTATTGTAAGGCCAAAGAGATTCACATATTTTCTTCAGAAAAATGAAAAGCACTCGCAATTCTTCTTTCTATTTTTTTGCCTTGAGGAAAAAACAGGGTTGGTTTAACAAATAACATGTTCTTTACAAGTATGAGATGCACTTCTCCAACATTCGTTGCATCAGTGTTCAACACCGTTTCGTCTTTGACTTTTGTAATTACCATCTTGTTCAGGTGGGGACTAGGAACCAACAAGTGTACTTTTGAAGATTATAAACATTATAAATGGAGATTTCGCGTACAATATTGTTCATGTTCTTGGTGCAGGATGGAGGTTGTTGATGTAAAGAGTCCTCGTGGGATAGCTAAAATCCTTGGAACCTTAATATCGTTGGCAGGGGTCACGATCATCACTTTGCATAAAGGACTTGCACTGCTAAGCTTGTGGGATGCTCTAATTCACATGAAAAGACTTTCTATTCATTAGAACTGGGTGAAAGGATCAATCCTTACTATTGCTAGCTGCATAACAATGTCTTCATGGTACATTGTGCAGGTAATAGGTAAACTAATTTTAATTTGTTTTTGGCCCTCAAAAAAAAAAAAAGTCAGATTGCATTTTCTTGATTTGTATTACCAAAAACTAAAAGATGATTGTTATAATGATCTCGGAATTTTTGGCAATATATTTTAAAAGCTTGTAATAAAACCAGTAGGTATTTACGATGAAGAAATATCCAGCCCAACTGTCTGCACAATCGGCTGTATTTGCAGTGTGCTTACAGCACCAACCTGCAGCATGGTCTGTCACATTGTTCGGTATTGATTTCTGGGCCATAACGTTTTCTGTAATTAATTTGATCATAACCATTAGAACAGTTTAAATATGTTGGTATCTATTTGTTCAAAATCATGTCTAAACCTGGTAGGATGTAACTCAATGCTAGGGAATTGTTGGCTCTGGGATCCCCACCTTCCTTCTATTGTGGTGCATGGAGGAGAAAGGGCCAGTCTTTACAGCCATGTTTAATCCTCTTCAAACAGTTATAGTGGCAGTTCTAGCATACTTTGTCTTTGGTGAAAAACTATATACAGGCTGATAAGAAGTAAATTTCAAATCTCATTTCAAAGTTCAAACTTGCAAAAGACATATCCTCTTTAATTTTATTTGACTATATATACCATTCAGCACACTGGGTGGAGTCACTGTTATCATTGGTTTGTACTTGCTATATATTGTGGGGCAAAGAAAAAGATCAGTCTTCTTCACATTTTGATGAGCTAAAGGGAGCAGACAAGGAGGAGGTAGCTTCAGGAGTAAAGGAGGAACCATGAAGGAGACGTCACGAAGCTTCTGACCGAAGATCAGGATGCCATAACAAAATAACTTGATTTGTCAATTGTCATCAAGGGTTTTGTGAGGTTGGGGCAACAATGTTTGTAAAACCCTATAATTCCTTTTGCAATCATTTTCTTCTCAAAACGAATGGAGAGGAAGAAAAGAAGAATAAGAAAAACAAGAAAAATGCTTATAAGTTTCCAGAAAAGGAAAAAGAGATTCCAATTAATGTTTATTGTTATTTATGTAATGCTCCAATCAGGCTAAATCACTCAAATATTCCTTTACTTTCCTTTTCAGTATGATTCTAATATTACAAAAATTACTTTAGAAGATGTCATATCAGTGCTCATGACCATGACAGATGCTACGTGTCCCTTGTTTTGGTCAATTTCAATGGAACTTATGTCACTTTCTCTGATATTATGATAGGTTTTCCCAGCATACATTGCAATACGGCTGGAAAAGAACTTAAAGGTGGTTAAAACTTTGCCTGTTGTAGAAGTTGTTAAATACTTAATCTTTGAAACAAGATTCTACACCTTTGAAATTATAATGAAAAAGTTTTGACAATGAAAGGAAAGAAAATGCAATTGTCAAATACTAACGGATACGCTTGATTGGAAAGATAAACAAGATGACAGAAAACGAAGTTTTATTTTCATCCATTACTTTGAGAGCATTGAAAAATGAAATGAAAAAAAAAAAAGAAAATTATATTATTTTACTATTATAACCCATTCCATCTTTCTACTTTTTCATTCTACCAAACACACCCTAAACTAAATATCAAAGTGCTTCACATTCTGTGAGATTGACCAAGAGATGTGTCCAATTTTATTCACAAGAAAAAGAAGAAGGCATGCAACAGCAAAAGAACTTGATTTGTTTTTGACGGCCTCCACAGCCACAAGTACATTAATGTTTGCCTCTAATTGTTGATCTGGAGAACTCCTTAAATCATCTCAAATATTTTGCAGATTGTGAAGTCACATATTAGTCAAGGAAAACACTTGTATTGACACGGTGGATCAAACTCAATAGAAGCTTTCATCTTACCATTCCTAAATCTTATACCTAAATATGGTCCTACATACATCAAACTTGTACAAACACTTTACAAAAGCTGAACGTAGACAGATACTTGAACTCCGGCTGACAATATGATTTCTTATATAATTTAATGAACTGAGCACTGATTCTCCACTCATTTCGCTTCTTGGAGTCGCATTCGTATTGATTCTGGGCTTGACACTTTATTGACGCTGAAAATAATTAATGAAGTCCATCAGTTAGAAGCACTTTCTTAAAAAATAGTAACATATGTTGTCATAATTGTTCTAATAAACATTTTATGTGCTAAATGTCTTAAAAAAATACAGATACTTTTTCGATTTTGTAATAAAATATGTGAACAATCATCCAGCAATCATCACCATGCCGAATGAAGGGAAAAAGTGCCAATATAAAGTGTCAAATTAATTAGACTCACCAAACAAGTAAATCCCCAGCAGATGCTGTCTTTTCAAATATCCATTCTGGAGCTAGTTCTAGCAACAGTTTTAGTTGCTCTTCAACTTCTCCTGGTAAAGCAGTACAAGACATAGTTCAACTAATGTTTTCGTAAACCAAACAAATATCATGAGCTGCTAACTGTTTAGCATAAAGGCTTACCTCTATCAGCAATATCACAATGGCCAGCAATTATTTTGTGCATAAGCTCTTCTTTGGTAATAACAGAGCGCTTTACAGACTGGAAAAGATAGTGAATAATGTTGAAGAGCTTAGGTAGGCAGGCAATCATCCGTTGTCGTCTCTTTGCTTGTGAGATTGCTGGATCTTGCTCCTCCATTGCTTTCCTCTCTTTCTCCCTTATCTACAAAGAGAATAAATGGTTACTTATAAATTGTACTCATGCAATCAAAGCCCAAACCTCATTGTTCCATGCGCTATTTGATGTTCACTTCCAACTAGATATTACGCTAAATGATGCCAAGAAATCGTAAAGTAAGATTGCAGGATAATTTAGTCGCCAAGCTCATTAACTACCATGCGGAAGTGCATTTGTTTAAGAACCTTCATTCTCCTAATGCTAGGATAAGAATAGTGGATGTCTTATTTACAGACTGATTAACTAACCCTAATTCCATATCTAATAGAAAGTAGAAAAGAGTCAGATGATATTTGTGTGGGTAAGTCAACACTAGGGGATTAATTATTTGTAGTTAATGTGTATGCAGATGGAATTCATGCTCTAGAAAGGATGATAGCAAAGAGAATTCAGAGAGGGCTTACTGAATGCAGAAGGCTCTCAGGTAGAATAGAAAGAACATCATCTTCTTCATCGTCGACTGGCTTGCCTCCCATCTCAGACACGCCATCAACAACCTTCTCTTCCTTCACAGGAGTGTCAAATTTCAAGGACCTTGTACGCGGTGGCCGCCTAACTAACTTGTTTGATAAATTGGAAGAAACCTCATCTGGGCTCATGTAACATCTCTTTTGCAGCTGTAGAGTAGGTGTGGCGGTCATCAGCCTAGCAGGAGTGGAAGCTAGTTTTACAGGAGTGGACTGAATACTGCCAGATTTTGTAGGGGACTTATCTTCAGTTTTCAAGGGAATTACCTCTTTGATTGGAGTTGCAGGGAGGCAAGTTTTGGACCTTGTCTCACTTGCAGTTGGTTTAGATAAAAATTTAGTTGGGGATCGAGTCAGAGCAGAGCCAGTTTTGTCACTGTTGACAGATCTGTCAGCACATAGCTCTGGAACTTGAAAATTTGAGGACTGAACGGAAACCTGTGAACATTTTTGGACAACCTCCTGTGCTTTGTTTATGGCTTTCTGGGAAAAGCACTTCCGAAATGATCGAGATACATGAGATGCTACCACAGGTTGCTGGTCATTAATTGCATCAGCTAATGTCTCCACAACCAGTTTTGAATTGAAATTTGAGTGATAGGATGGTTTTGGTCGTGCTTCCTCTTGAATAACTTCACCTTGTGCTGTCAAGAATTGATGCACTGTCAGTGTATCAGTTGATGACTCATCAGAAGACAATGAAATAGGTCCTTTGATCATGTTCAATTGCATATTCTTCTTTGAACGATTGAATGGCTCTGGGAGATCTTCTTCTGGAATTTCACCACCCTGAAAGCACAATAATTAAAGTCAACACAACATGATACTTAAAAAATAGCTATAATGACATTAGGCAAGTTTTAACTTCTAGAACACTAGAAACATTTATAAATGTTTTTCAGTTCCTAAGACTCAAAATGTAAACTTTCTAACAAGAGGAGTGTACGATTGCTTTAACTTATGCCTATTGTGAACATGTGGTTATTCCTGCATAGAACCAGCCATTAGACTGAAATTTAAGACTTGAAATGTAAGCTATCTTATTAGGTGGTCAATCTTAAAAATGAAACTTGGTCCTGAAATTGATAAATGAACAGCTAGTAGCACTGGTGTTCTATAGTTTTTATTCTTCTATTTTTTTTTTGTCGATAATTTAGTGTTTTATAGTTAGAAGAATATTAGGTAAGTTTAGGATTCAGAATGGTAGAATTTAAAAAGTTTTTGGCTGCTAAGAATCAAAATGTAACCTTTCTAACTAGGGGCAAAATGTGTTTGTTTTTAATTAAAGGCCTATTACAACCAGGTATTTAGCCCTGCATAGAACCAGCCATTGGAGCTTTTATCAGTTAAGAGCTTCGATCCTCAAGTGTAAGTAAAGTTTCACATTGGGTACAATAAAGTTTCATAACTTTGATTTTATATCTAGCAAACTTCAAGCTTAAAAGTTAAATCTCAACTAGAAAAAAGAAGAGCTAAAACTCAACTACAAATTTCAAAACTAAAACAAATCTAATGCTCCAAATATTTTAGCATAGCTAATTGGTATATAAAGAAAGGCTACTAAACTGAAGAGAATACCTGAGGATGAGCCTTGAGATAGTCTGCAAGCCGAGCTCGAAAAACCCTCCTCAAGTTCAGATTCGTCTCAGATTTAGACTTATCCCCACAGTCAATCGCATTGGCGATGATGCTAACGTGGAGATCTGGTTTCATACAACTAGTCCTCTCATCAAAGATCAGCATTCTCTTTATCTCAATCGCCTCCGGTAAAATATGCTTCAATTGGGCCAAGTGACCGTATGAAAACCTCCTATAAATCAACATCAAACCCCCCCCCCCCCAAAGAATAAATAAGTAAATAAAGCAAATCACCCATAATAATAACCCAAATATAAGTTACCTATCAGTTAAACACTCTATTTTGGGGCTGATATTAGTAAAAGTTGGCATTGACCCCTTCAGCTTTAGCAGCCGGATTGCAGAATCCAAGCCATCGAAAAACCCACACAATATCTCGTAACTGTCCCACAAATATTCAATCAACAACAATATATATATATATATATATTTAAGAAAGGAACTTGGGTTAGAAGAGGCAGGACTTACTTTTCAGGGAGTTTATCGTGACGGACACCGGAGGTTTTGGGTGGAGGAGATTCGATGGCCCAGGATAAGATCTGTTTCCGGGCCGATTTGACCTGATCGGTTGGAGGTTTGGGCCGGGTCTGGACCACTTGCCGGATCTCCTTGATGGAGAGAGCGACGCCACGGTTACGAGAACGGTTGCGGAGCTGGGAGGCGGACTTTTCTGGGGTTATGGAAACGGGTGAGTTAGAGGTTAGGTTGAGAAGTTTTTTGGATTTCAGAGGGGTGGATTTGAGAGAATCTGAGGAGTTCATGGCTGGATAAATTACAGAGAAAATAGGAGGGAGGCGGGAGTTGGCGGAGGAGAGGAAAGGAGGCGGATCGAGGGGGTGTATATATTAAGTGGATTTTCTGGCGGGAAATCTTAGTCGACAATGCTATGATGTTGACACGTGTACGACCGCCAAATTGATCCGTTACGTCCCGCGGATTCATGAAGGTATGTTTGGAGAGTAGCGTAAACGGTTATTATTAAGTAGGGATATCCTATTCCCACCCTATAAATATGTACATGGACTTGTTAAAATCAGCCCATATGAAAAAAAAGGCTCAAATCAAGACGAAGGGAATAAGTAACCTCAGGCCTTACCCCGTTGTGAATCATCTTCACATCTGGTGGGTCTTTACCATTCGGTTTAATCACAACTCAACGCACATTTTTTTCCTTTTAAATTAGAGGTGAAGTTTTTCATTAGAAAAAAAGTAAAATTTTGCCATTACTAACACAAAAGTCCTTCCTTCCGCTGCCCAACCGAGGCTTTGGCCTCTGGGCACTTATAATCTAAAACCCAAAACAAAAAAAAAAACAAAAAAAAAAGGAAAAGAAATAGGGCTATTACCTTCACGTCTCCTACGTTCAAAAAATAAATTTTTTTATAATTTTCATAGAGAAGAAGAAGAAGAAGAAGCAGCCCAAAGGCCCTTTTTCTTTGAATTCTTTAATTGATTAACTTCTTCTTAGTAATATTGAATCGATTCTCTATAATAAAAATTCATAATTTGTTTTTATTTTCTTCTACGCAACCAAAAACCCTCTCCTCTTTTCCTTTGCTTCCCTTTCTTTCTTCCTTCGAATTCTCCGAGTAACGGTCGATCTTTGGTTTTGTTGATTTATGCGTCGTTTTTGCGAAATAATCCTTAGTGGGTATCGGCCAAATTCACCGTTTTTTACTATTTCTTAATTCTTTGGGTTTTATTGGAGCTGCTTGTTGGTGGGTCGGAGGTAAATTCCAATACCTTTTCTTATTTATTTGGATATACGGATAATCCTGGCTTGTTATTTGTTTCAGCTTATTTTCTTTTTCTTTTGGAGAATTTATATGGATATAATTTGGGTTAACTTTTGGTTGTTAAATAATTTGTTTTTATTTTAATAGATATTAAAGTCTTTGGTCGACTTAAAATTCGCCAAGAATTACCTTCCTTTTTAGCATGTTTTCCTGCTAAGCTTTTGATATGGTGATTTTTTTTTTATATATTTAAGAGTACTTTAGTTGAACTAAGAATGGGCACCAATTTATCTGCTGAAATTTTGTCTTGGTTCGATGTTTTTCTTCCATAATATGTTATTCCTTTTTTTATGTTTTATGGTTTATGTATTATAGTTTTACATAAGTTGCTAATATTTGTGTTCAAAATCTGCAATTTAAGTTTCTAGCTTCAAATTGTTGCATCTTACAGCTTGTTGCGAGCTGGTTCATCGAGGAAAAGATTGTGGTTTTATTCCAACTTATGATTTGCAGGTATTTGAACTTAATTAATTAGTGTAAGGTTTGAGGAGAAATATTTTGTAAATGGTGTGTTTTTTTCATGTCTTGTTTTATTTGTTATTTCAGTTGGATTTTATATTTAAATGATGCTAGTATTAAGTTTTGTGCAGTCCATAATGTTGCTTAGTCTCTTTGTTGTTCTGGTGCATATTATGATGGATTAGTAATCTGCTTTGCTTCTACTTACTCCTCTGCATGTGAGCATGGGCATACATACATCATAAAAAGGAAATTGGTCTCATTTTCTTCTTATTGGCAGAACCTCATCATAAAAATTTGCGTTTTTGGGGAATGGACTGGCTGTTTTTCCCTGCTATCAAGGTTTACGAATGATGTTTGGGACGCAGAAGGCTGCAAATGCTCTTGGCATATTCAAGTGGAGGTGGGGTGGTGAATCCTCTTTGACGACAGGCTTACTAGGTGATGTGCCTCCTGAGGTTGAGTTGTCTGACTATGGAAGAGTACCACCAAGTCCTGGTAGTGAGAGCCCTTCAGGGCTTCTTAATGGTGAGACTCTGAATGTGGAACCAATTGCCGACTTGGATTTGTTCTTTGAACGGCTCTATAGCTACTACTGTGAGAAAGGCCTTTGGTGCATCATTACAAAATGGATAGTTGAACTTCTGAGCCTGGGCTTTACCATATGTTTCTCAGGGTTTTTCTTACTGTTTGTTGATTGGAATGGTCTCCGCAATGCAAAGTGTGGGATGGATGCATTTGAGTCTGGAATTAAACCATGTGATCTTGCTAAGGAAGCTCTTCACCAACACCCATTAACCCCTTTAACACTTTCAAAAGCTATTATTGTTGGATATTTGGGCCTATTTTCCATCTATTGGATATTCTGTTTTTTGAGGTTTTTTGCACAATTAAAGGATACTCTTGGAATACGTCATTTCTATTATAGCAGGTAATTTTTATATTTGATAAGTTACAAGATAGCTAGAAGCTTTGATTTTGCATTTGGATAGAGCATGTATATTAGCAGCATCTTATAAATGTTTAATGATTTTATGATTATTTTTTTAAATTTAATTTTGCAGTCTTGATGTTACTGACAATGAAATTCAAACCATGTCATGGGCAACAATCCTTGAAAGGGTTGTTCTCTTGCAAAGTTCACAACAACTCTGTGTGGTGAAGGATCTTTCTGCTCATGATGTGGTTATGCGATTGATGCGGAAGGAGAACTACTTGATTGGAATGCTTAATAAAGGAGTGCTTGCTTTTCCAATCTCACCCTGGGTCCCAGGTGCTGGTCCAACTGTCAAATTTGGCCCTGATGGAATGCGGCATCGTTTGATACTAACAAAGACACTTGAATGGACCTTAAATTGGTGTATACTGCAGAGCATGTTTGACCGGTATGTTTAATTTTTCACAAGCATTTGACTTGCTGCTTTATGTACATTACTTCCTGTGACCATTGCGGTTATGAATGTCGTTCCAACATGTATAAGCAAAACAATCTATGGAAGTAAGTGTCATGACTTTCTACTTTCAGACTAATGATAAAATTACTTATTTCTTCATTTTTTAATGCATAATATTTCATTTTCAAGAATTATATAATCTTTATTGTGCTAAGCGGTATAAAAATACATAACTTTATGCATTTTTGGTGTTGAAATACAAAGAAGTTAATACCTCCATTTAATTGTTAATTGTTTTTTCTAATTATGTTGAGAGGGACTGTTGTGGATAACACTAGCAAAAATGGTTGCAGTCTTTGAGACTTGTACATTTTTGTAGTCAAGAGACAATGTTTTTTTTCTTTGCATTATCAAGTCCATGGTTTTGGTACCTAACAGCTGACTTTGGTGCTGCAGCTTTAAGAAATTCTTAGATTTTTCATTTTCCCTACAAAGCCAAGTTTTAGTAGTTCTGCTTAGGTTGGTCTTTAATGGTTGATATTGTTTCATGAAGTAGCAGGAAAAGAGTTGGTTAAGATCATGTTTGATTGCAATTTTTTTCTTCTGCTTTTTGTGTTTTCTTGACTTGCACCTACTTGAAATTTGAAATATGTCAAAATTCTGAAATGGTTTTACTGATCCATTTTCTTTATATGTTTAGGGAGAAAATATTTTATGAAGTACTTCATGTTTCAAATGCAACCCTGAAAACCTTGACAAATTTATGAGGTTTTCTTGATTTTAGTAGCCAAAAACATTTGCTATTAGTTTTTCTTTTCTTTTCTTTTCTTTTTGAAGAAAGGAAAAAATAACTAAACTCAAGGGGCTTATGACCAACTTCTTTAGGGAATGCTTTTTTTTTTTTTTTTGCAGAAACTTCTGTGTCAGAAGGGACTTCATTTCTAACCCTAGAACGTTGAAGAAGAGGCTCATGGTTGTCGGGCTTGCTATGCTTCTTCTCTCTCCATTTCTTGTTATATTCATGCTGGTTTATCTGTTCTTAAGACATGCTGAACAATTCTATAATCATCCAAGCACAGCTTCATCTAGAAGATGGTCAAATTTGTCAAAGTGGATGTTTAGGGAATTCAATGAGGTATTGTCACCTTCTCACCGCTTCATTTTTAAGTTAAATCATTTTATCTTGTGCTATAAGTCAAGAAGGATTGAGCCACTACCTATCCTCACAAGCTTGTGTTGTTATTTTATTTTGTAAGTAGTAAGCTTGTGTGTTAGTCAATTGTTTGAAGTTACATACTTGTGTCTTGTGTGAAAATTTAAAATTTTAAAATCAAAAAAAGAAAATTTAAATTTATCATAGAGAAGAAAAGCTGTTTAGAACCTACTGTGAAAATAAGATGACAACAATTGTTTCTTTAGTTGGATATTTTGCACTTCTAGATCTTCTTTTCTCGTATTGTAATACTGTATTTTTACACATACTGTTGTCTTTGTCTTACAGGTTGACCATTTATTCAGACATCGGATTAATGGCAGTGTAATGCATGCTTCTGAGTACCTGACGCAATTCCCCTCGCCAATTATTTCTGTCATCGCAAAGTTTATCTCATTTGTATCTGGCGGCTTTGCTGCTATCTTGATTATCATTGCCTTACTGGAGGAATCTTTGCTAGAGGGCCATGTAATATTTTTGAACTTTCACATTCTTTTATTTTCTTCTGTATTTCATTTTAGTTATTTGCATTTTTCTTTTTTTCCAAATTTGTAGATATTTGGTCGGAACTTGTTTTGGTATGCAGCTGTTTTTGGAACCATAACGGCCATTAGCCGGGCAGCTGTTACCGATGAGCTTCTTGTCCTTGATCCAGAAGGAGCAATGTCTATGGTGGTCCAATATACACATTATATGCCAAAGAGATGGCGTGGTAGAGAAAACACTGAAATAGCCCGGATAGAGTTTGAAACTCTATTTCAGGTAATTCCGCTTGGTACCTATTTTTGTTTTACCTGTAATCTAGGAGTTGCATGCTTGTTCAGTTGTAAAGATCTGGAAGATAAGATGTTGTAACTGCCATATAGCCACATGGGTAGTTTGTATCTGTCATTGCTTTTCCTAGTTGTCTTGAAGCCCTATCTGGATGATGCAACAGATATTTCTAGTATTTAATTTTACGACTCCCAGAAGTCTATGGATTTTCAAGTAACAAAATATCATTTCTTCTGACCAATTTGCAGCATCAAGTGCTAACAATCAAATTTCTAGGCCAGCCATGAGTTCTCTAGGCATTGTTACTTTCCGATTCGGAGATACAATTAAAATTAACATTCATTTGAGAAATGTTTTGATTCTTTTCTCTATACTTTAGACTTTTTGAATTATTTTTTTGCTCAGTGTACTTTTTTTGTGATGCAGTACACTGGAATGATGTTGCTAGAGGAGATGGCCTCAATTTTCCTCACGCCATTCTTGCTTCTATTTGTTGTCCCAAAGGTTTTTTTTTTTTTTTTTTTTGGAAACTATTTCTATTGTAATTTCTTGTACCATACATCTTAGTTTATGAACTAAAAATGCTGTGTTCATTTTGCAGCGGGTGGATGACATTTTACAGTTCATTGCGGATTTTACTGTGGATGTTGAAGGTGTTGGTCATGTCTGCAGGTAGTGTTCTTTTTCTTTTAATTTTTTTGGACCAGTTTATTACTAGCTATATCATTTGCCCATTAAACGAGATAATGTGTTTGATTATTCCCTTCTTCATTTTGCAGTTTTAGTGCCTTTGATTTCCAAAACCATGGCAACGGCAATTATGGCTCTCCACACAATGCACCTCGTGCACAGAGGAGTTCCCAAGGGAAATTGGAGAAATCATTCTTGAGGTATGATTATAGTAAGGTTAATTGAATTTGTATACTTGCTCTGTATTACAACTGCACATATCATTCTTGCTATTTTTTGCTAGGTGAATATAGTTTGGGAATTAAGAAATCACCTCAAAATATTATATTAGTATTCTCTGTGATAAAAGCAAGTTTTGAATTTCATTTTAAAATGCAATCTGATGAGACATAATATGCTATTGCTCTGTATGAAATGCCATTTATCTACAACTTACAATTATTTCTTGGTTGATTGCTTTGAATGCCTTCCTGTCCTCCTAGAGTCATTATTTCCCCCAAGTCTTTCATAATTTCTTTTTCTTTTTTTTTTTTTTAAGTTCAGTTTTGTGATTATTCTTTGTTATGGTTCTTTTTCTCCACTTTATATCATGTTGAATCTCCTTTCTACATTTTCCTCTCATATATACTTTCATTTTATCACAACTTAACATGATTTCTTTTGGCCTTTCATACCGCCAACCCCAAAGTTATGGGATATAAGGCTTAGTTTTCTGTTGTTGTTGTTGTATACTTTTCTGTTGTTGTTGTTGTATACTTTCATCTTGAATTGTTTTGTTCTGATTGCAGTTTCCAGAGTAGCTACCCTTCGTGGGAACCAGATGCTCAGGGTAAGCAGTTCCTGTCAAATATTAGAGCTTTCAGGGAGCAAAAGTTGCAAGTTCAGGGAGCGAGACATGCATATCCTCCAGGAAGAATGTGGCGAGGTAGCCCACTGAGAGCTTACGGAGATAGAACCGGCCTTTTATCTAGGGAAATGCAGCAGAATATTCCTGGCACTGGTTACAATATGGGTTCTTTATGGCTAATTGATGCTGATCAACAGAATCACCCGTATCTTCTAGATTGGTATTATACCTCTCGACCTCACCATGTGGCCAGTTATAGGAGAGACCTTGCAACGAGGCCATTGGAACCAGCTGATCAGGAGCATGGAGATTATGGGGTACCAACTAACGTAACACATAATGAAGCAAGAGATGAAGAATACTGGCCACACCGTTATGATGATCGGTCACAGTCGCATCTTGAAGCTTCAACTTCAGCTCCTTTCTTCCATGAGAGTGTACTTCAACATCATGATACAAATGAGATGGCGCACCATACACAGAGCCATTGGTGGGCTAGAAATGGTTCACATGGTGCACAGCCCCAAACAAGTTTCCTTGAGCCTCCTGATTTCAACCGCCATTCTCCAGGCCATCATTATGATAACTTCTCTGACAGAAGTGTAGAAGAGCATGATCAATTCCTTGATTGGAGGGATTCTCGGCTATCCCGCATGACTTACATGGATGATCTTGAAGCTGGAGGGGATGTAAGTCTTCATTTTGATGATATTTATAGCAGACCTCCTGAAACTCCCACCTTAAATTTGAGGTCCCTGAGCTTCGATTGATGGAAAAGCACTTTCCTCCAGATGAATGGAATGCAAATGGGTTTCCATTGCCCATTATGGGAGGAAACTCTGTATTCTTTGTTGTATATAGATTCATTATGAGGTTAGTTTCTTGAAGGCCTCAACTCAGATTTAAGAGGTAACAGACTCAAATGAGTCATTGTTAGCCTTCTGATAATGTATAAACAAACAATTACAAGCCATTGATCATTTTAAAATTTCATTCAATTCCATGTATTTCTTTGTACATATTTGTCTTGGTCAAGCATCATTAAAATAGCGTTGACAGATTTTTTTTGGCAAACTAGTTTATGTTCTTCGTAGGCTTATGTTTATGCATTATAGCGAAAGTCGTCTCAAAATTGGGACTCTCTCACTGGAGTCTAATTTTGTGCCAGGTGTCAGCATATTAATTGGTTTCTCAATTTTTTATTTTTTATTTTTTATTTAATCCCTCTAATTAACTCCAATACTCTCTTCCTCTTTTTTTTTAATTTCATCAAATACAAAAACCAAAATTTTAAAATAAAAAGTCGAGAAAAAAGGAAAACTTGATTGGGAAAAAAAACTGTTTTTTCTCATAAAAACTTTATTTTTTGCTAACCTGATGCAAACTTCTAAATTTTATTTTTTTTCTTTATTTAGGAGAGTAATTCACTTTAAATAAAAATGGAAACGAAATTAACCAAAAAATATCTTGGAGGAAAGAGAAAAAATTATTAGTGATTACATTTGGTCAATTTAAATGCTTAATTGAATGACATGTATCTCTCATTATAAGTCGGTTGAATTGAATTAATTATAAAACATAAATGATAAAATTTTCGTTTAATTAGGTTCATGAATATTATTCACTAATATTTTTATTTTTTACTTTAAATTATGTACATCAATTTAACCATTCATAAATTAATTATATGTGAATTTAACAATTTAACAATTTATAATATTAATGAACTCAATCAATAATTGATGAATGTACTTCATGTTTAATGCTTTTTAAATTTAATATTTTGAATTCAGATTCAAATATATTATTGAGTAGTATAAATAACTAAAATCAAACTCAAATTGTATGAATTTAATAATTCATAAACTTGATTATTTATGAATATGTAATATTCATAAACTTAATTAATTGTAAATAAATGTATTTAATAATTAGTATTATTTAAATTTAACAAATTTATTAAATAATATAAATATGTATGAATCAAATCCAAATAGTTATATTTTAATTTGATCTTTTGTGTTTCAATATATTATAAAAATATATATTATTGGTTTTGTACTATTAGAAATTAAGTTTTTAATTTTTAGTTTATATTTCAATAAAATTTCAATTAAATGAATTTATTGATTTGTTCATATGAGACATTATTTTATAAATATTATTTATTTATATTTAATAAAATTGTGACCGGACATTTGTCTAGTTAATAAAATAAAGTTTACTCAAAATAGGTGATGGGATTGTTTGGTGTCACAAATATGAAAATTAAAAAAAGGAAATGACTAGCATAGTTTTAATATTTCTAATCATACCCTAGATGAAACGACAACGTTTCAGTGCTGTTCCCTTTGCTTTGCATTTCCAATTCTGCATTCTCTACCTTGACGCTGTTGCCCTTGCTAATAAAAACTAAACAGAGAAAGACACTTTTAAGGGTTTTTGCAAGGGTTTAACAAAAGCTAAGAAATAAAGCCTAACGCCAAAACTGGCCAAACTCCACTCAAAACTTCTCAATTTCAGCATGAGAAAGGCTTCAGTTTCTCTTCTTTCGAACTTCTGCCGCCAAAGGTTCAGGACAATTGCCCCTGTCTCCAGAAGTTATGTTTCTGATAATTCTCCGTTATCATCGTCTTCTTCTTCTTTTTCTTCTTGTTCACCGCTTCACTCAACTGGCCGTCGCCTCCAATCCTGTGCCAAAACCCATGGCTTAGTCTTCAAAACCCATCAATTCCAAAAAAACCCATCTTGTAATCTCGATACCCTTGTGGAAAAACCAACCCAATTGTCCTCTAGGCAGAGAAAACTGAGAGAAAAATCCGATCTTGAGGAAGCTTTTGAGTCTGCTAAAACCGCTGAAGAAATGCTCAGAGCATTTAAAGATATGGAAGCTTGTTTTGATGAGAGAGAGCTGGGGTTAGCTTCATTGAAAGTTGGACTCAAACTTGACCAAGAAAGTGAAGACCCTGAAAAAGCTCTATCTTTTGCTGACAAAGCATTGAAAGCATTGGATCAAGATGGTAAACCTTCTTTACTTGTAGCCATGGCTTTACAATTGATGGGTTCTGTTAATTATGGTTTAAAAAGGTTTAATGATAGTTTAGGCTATCTTAATAGGTCTAATAGGTTGCTTGGTAGGTTAGAGGAAGAGGGTGTTGCTAGTGTTGAGGATATCAGGCCAGTGCTGCATGCGGTGCAGCTTGAGTTGGGGAATGTGAAGACTGCTATGGGTAGGAGAGAGGAGGCTCTTGAGAATCTTAAGAAGGCTTTGGAAATTAAGGAGATGACTTTGGAGAAGGATAGTAAGGAATTGGGGGTGGCATATAGGGATTTGGCTGAAGCTTATGTCTCTGTTCTAAACTTTAAGGAGGCCCTGCCTTTTGGTTTAAAGGCGTTGGAGATTCATAGGAAGGAACTGGGCCATAATTCAGTGGAGGTTGCACATGATAGGAGGATTCTTGGAGTTATTTATACCGGTATGGAGGAGCATGAGAAGGCATTGGAGCAGAATGAGTTATCACAGAAGGTTTTGAAGAATTGGGGTCTTAGCTCTGAGTTGCTCCGTGCAGAAATTGATGCTGCTAATATGCAGATCGCATTGGGGAAGTATGATGAAGCTATTAATACTTTGAAAGGTATAGTTCCACAGACAGAGAAAGATAGTGAGAATCGAGCTCTGGTGTTTATTTCGATGGGAAAGGCTCTTTGTAATCAGGAAAAATTTGCAGACTCAAAGAGGTGTTTGGAGATTGCTTGTGGAATTCTTGACAAGAAAGAGACAATTTCGCCAATTGAAGTTGCTGAGGCATACTCAGAGATATCAATGCAATATGAGACTATGAATGAGTTTGAGACTGCGATTTCATTGTTAAAGAGAACATTGGCTTTACTTGAGAAGCAACCTCAAGAGCAGCACTCAGAGGGAAGTGTTTCTGCTAGAATAGGGTGGTTACTCCTGTTGAGAGGTGAGGTGCCTCAAGCAATTCCTTACTTGGAGAGTGCAGCAGAGAGATTGAAAGAGAGCTTTGGTTCCAAGCATTTCGGGGTCGGGTATATTTACAACAATTTGGGGGCCGCATATTTGGAATTGGATAGACCTCAGTCAGCAGCACAAATGTTTGCTGTTGCAAAGGACATCATGGATGTCTCTCTTGGTCCTCATCATGCAGATTCAATTGAAGCTTGCCAGAATCTTTCTAAGGCATATAGTGCAATGGGAAGGTAAGATGTTTTCTTGGTTTTTCTTTTATTCTCTATGCATGATGCTTTTTGTAGTTCAGTATATTGGAGTTGCATCTCAAATATGCTTCTGTTAGACTAGTAATGTGGTGACTTCTTTCCTGCTATGTAACTAATTGTGTGCTTATCTGAACTCTGAAGCCTTTATCTTTGGGCAAGTTAAGATGTTTCTGGTGAACAGTCATATTTACCCTAAACATCTTGGATAAAATTGATTGTTAAATGAGAAACAACACCTTTTTATGCATTTTACTGAAAGACTAGATGCTTCCGTTTTGTTTGATACATTGTTTTCTAATGTTTAATAACGTTTTAATTAGTTTTCTATTGTTTTCTAATGGCAAATGTAAATAACTGGAAATTATTGGGAGTCATGTTAAAGTGAGGGTATCTTGGGGCAGTGCTGAAGTGAAATCTGTTCATGGCTATAGAGACAGAGAGAAATTGAATTTCAAAGGAAAACAGATTTCAAGGAGGTCTAAAGGTGAAACGTTCAAGGGTTAATAATGTAATAAAATGACAGGATATGCAATATTCCTGCACATTCATAAAGCAATTCTTAATTCTTATACCAACAAAGAAACTACCGCTCAGTTTTAGAAGAATCTAAATTTTATTGTATGCTATATGAAACTTCCATTTATGTTGAGTATTGCAGAATGATGCAAATTAGCTGTACAAGCATATTCCTTGCCTGCAAGTATACATTCTAATGGTAACACCAACTGAAATGAATCTGTTTTACAATGTATATTGGCTTTTAGGATTAAATTTGGATCTTAAAATTTATTTCTCGGATGTTGCAGCTATACCCTTGCAATCGAATTCCAGCAGCAAGTAATTGATGCCTGGGAAGGCCATGGACCAAGTGCAGAAGATGAGCTCAGAGAAGCCCAACGTACTCTTAAAGAGTTAAAGACGAAGGCCCGTGGTACATCCACTAACCAGCTACCTACAAAGGCCTTGCCTTTGCCACAAAATAGTCTTGCTTCCAGAAATTCGCAAACCAGTGTTCCTGTTAACCAGACAACCAGCTCAATACGGTAGACTTATAGTATTTTATGCTTATGCACTGTAATCACAATGTTCCCCCACTTTTTTATGTTCTTTAATTCGTATTAATACATGTTTAACTGGTCATTTAAAGCAGCTAAATAGATTCTCTTTCTTTTCCCCTTCGTTGAAAACAACTTTGGATTTGCCAATTTGTTGTGTACGGGAAAGCTTAGATAATGCTTGTGTTTCATTTTTTCCTAAGCAGCAAGTTTTCTCTTTAATCGGACATGTTTTTCATCTCTGTCAATGGGGATGTCTGCAGAAAGTATTATTTATGCGATCAAAAATTGGTCAAGTAAAGAAATTGTACTGGTGAAATAATTTTATTTTATTTTACTTTTACGGTATCGAGTTTAATGTGCACGTAAGAAGAAACACTGTAAAGTCTGATTACTGTGTGCCCCTGAATTTGAGTCTCATCACAGGTGGTGATACGTTGCTCTGTCAGCTTCAAGGAAGCTCATGGTAGTGACCGAGTTGAACAATGCGATCGTGATTTGAGCATTTAGCCACACTTCCCCGACTGGTCGCACTCTGAGTATTATTGTCTTTAGCTCAAAATAATGGCATAATTAATCGTGTAAGAAGAAAATTTTGATTAATTAAACTTGAACCAAATCATTCCTTCTGCTCAGCAGCAGCAAAATAATTACTACTACAAGATAAAAGAAGTCGGTGATCATTGCTAAAGGACCTTCATTGCTCTAACTTGTGGAGTTGAAGTTACTCATTGTTGGGGCCTTAACTTTGGCTTCCATTTAATGCCCCTCTTGCCTTTTCTTCTCCTCACTATCTCTCTAAAACTCTAAACAGAAGCGCATGGAAGCAATCATTGTCATTCATGAAGAGAAATAACTCCAAATATAATGAAATCAAATCCTATCCGCACATAGTGCCTTAAGCATGATTTTCACACCCATGCCTGCATTTTCCGTAAGCACCTTTTTTTTTTTTTCATCATATACAATATCAGTGAAAAGTCACTCTACACTCTTCTGAGCTTTCTTTTTCTGTTATACTCATTTGCCTCACACAAATTTCCAACTCCAAACAAATAAACAACCAAAATTAAATTTAAGCAATTTCTAATTATAAATCAAATTCAACAGGAAGTACCACGTTTCTGGGTCTCCGGCAGTGTCCAAATGGAAATAAAGATGTCCGAGCTCTATTACTGCACTCTTCAGTAGCATTAATCTCTCCAGGATGCCTGTTTTGTTGAACAATGGCTTGAACAGATAAGTAAAGCTGTCGGTCCACAGCAGAATCTAATGAGAAAGATCTCCTTATAGGTTGGATCGAGAACTGATCATCTTTCTGTCTAACATCAATGCATTCATCTCCCATAATTGAGAGGTGGTGGCGCTTTCTTGATTTTAAGTTCCCGGGCTTCCGCTCCAGCTTTTTTGGTGATTGACCTCTAGGCTGCGACTGCGTCAATGCTTCTCTTGAATTGTCTCTTTCTCGTTGCCTATGTGGTAGTAGAGCACCTTCATCGTCTCCTCCAACTTCTATCACTACAAAATCCTCGTCTCCACCCATCAGGCTATCAGTGTATGGCTGTGAGTCTTGAGGCGAAGAGCTAGGTGCAATGATTTGATTGATCGGATAGCGCGTAGTGCCTGAAATGCTTGTTCTGCAAAGAGGACAATTGGCGTTGCTTTGGAGCCATATATCAATGCAATCTAAGTGGAATGCATGGCTGCAGTTGGGAAGAACTCTAAGCATGTCATGCTCTTGAAACTCGTTCAGACAAACCACACAACCATAGATACTTCTCTCATCACCTTCTCTTTTGAACTGAAAAGTTGGGATTTCTCGAATGACTGATTCATCAAGCCCGCGATTCCAAATTGTAGGAGAGAAAGCAATGAACGTATCTTCCTCTTGTCTTGCTCGAAACAAAGATATCCGCCTTAGGAGATTAAATCGGTGCCAGTTAGAGCTGCAGCATTTGCTCACAAAGATATAATAACAAACTAGCAAGAAAGCTGTACCCATGATGCTTACCACAGCTATGGCAAATATAGGAAAGGCAGGGTCTGAAGTTGGCAAGGGAGGCTGATAATTAGTTGGATTTTGCTGATCTATGATGGGGGAAAGAGCTTGAAATCCGAGGTTGTAGATATGTCTGTTGTTTGGTGCCATAAGAAGCAAAATACGAGCCAAATAAAGTCACTGACCTACTTGAAAGATGCATAGAAAGCTTGTTCCTGAACTAAATGACTCATAAAAAGTGAATATCACATAAAGAATATCTTGAGAAAGAATTAAAGAGTGAATTGAGAGGGAAAGAGAAACGGGATTTGAAGGAAATTCCAAGTAAGATATTGGAAACATAGGATTGGGGCAATAAAGCTAAAGCCAAAGATTTTGATTACTAAAAAAAAGGAGTACCCAATTCAGTGCAATGCAGGGCAGGCAGGACAGGACAAGACAGGACGGGCACACATGTGCATCTATCAATGTGACATTGTGCATAGGCTGGAAGCCAAGGGTTAGAGAAATAATGATGGCAAATTTAGTTGTGTATGGTGCTGAAAAGAGAAATAAGGGTGCTTAACATTTCAGTGATGATCAGGTCACCCTTTGAGGGGAACTTTGTAGGTCCCAAGATCTCATACTGCCTTGTTTCATCTGGTCACACCGTTCACCATTTCTTCAATGCAATTTTTTTTTTTTTTTTACATTAAACTACTACAGAAATGAGATTGGTGCACCTCTTCCATCTGCCATATTAGTAGCTTAGGTATATTTGGCGATATTCCCGATGGGTCCTTATGAATATAGCCAACTTTCATTCTTTCTCAAAAGTTTGCAACCTTTCATTTATAAACTTGATGTGATCCTCAACTTACCAATAATTTTCCTGGTAACTATTAAATTCTTCAAAAATGAAAGAACCAGGTTCTATTCGCCAAAAACAAGTATTGCCTTAAGTCAAAAAAGTAATTAAAAATATTCAAGTTTTGAGATCTAAAATCAAATATTTCCCATATGCCAGCAACTCTTTCGTAAATAAATAAGAGTGGGTGTTTTTTTAATATGAGGAAACTTGCTTTATCAAAACAAATTTATAATTGAGTAAATAATCAAGTGTAATTTGATCGCAATGTTTAATTTACACAAATAACTAGTGTGATAATGTTCAAATTTGTGGATCATGATTTTCATTCTTCATCATATTTTCATGAATAACATTGAAATTTGATAAATTTTAAGTCTAGAATGTAATTTTATAGATACAAACCAATAAATTAACCATGAAATTTTCATAAATAACTTGAACAAACTAAAGTAAATAAAATCAAAGAGAAGAAAAATATGAATTATATATATCCTTCCCATCAATCAATTATTACTCATCACGAATGAATTCTTTTCTAAATGACAAGAAAAAAAGCCTTTAGAACCTTTAAGTTTTAGATTCAAGTTTTATTACTTGGGGATTATTTGATGCGATATTTTTATATTGAATTTTTTTCAAATTATATGCTAGTTTGTTTGTGCTCTATTAATTATTTAGTTAATGCAATAGTCATTCCTATAAATTTTAAGCGTTATTTTACGGTAATTGTAATTTTTGTACATGTAACTTCATAAAAACAGTAGTTCTTGCTTGATTAGTTACATAATTAAAAAATTATAGAAATTTTTATTTAATAATTTGTTAAGACACAACATCAAATAATTATTGAAATATTATATGATTTAGATTCTCATTTTTTAACCATTAATATTAGATCTGTTCATGAATCTAATATTAAATTTTCATCCAAATACGTAAATTTTTTATTTTTTTATTTTGTCTATTTAAAATTATTTGAAAATTTCTTTATAAATAATGTTATTTTCTTTGCACTGTTTCTGAAAGTGGTGAGAAAATTGGATTGAGTAGCTTTTCCTTTGCTGATTTACCATGTCATTATCTTCATTTTCGTTTTCCAGCCAATGGTCCATTCACCCATGTTGTTGTTCATCATGTAGTGGATGGCAATACGTGATTGTCGGAAATTCTATATTAACAACTCAAGTGTTTCCGTAACATTAGTTAGATTTAGCCTAAAAAACAATCCTTTTTCTATTCCGCGAAGGAAGCAAAGCTTGAAATTTTCTAATCTTTCAATACCAAAAATAAACCAGAGTCTTTCGTGTTGACCTTAGGGCTGCTACTCTTGCAATTTGAATGAAAACTACCAACATAACAGCTCATTTTGACAATTGCTTTTCAGCACTCTTTTATTTGTGTTACATCTCAATTACTATTAAACATTGATTCCAGCAAGCACTGATGTTAAATGGTACATTTGTTGTTGCAGCATAGATGACAGAGTGTTGACAGACAATTGCAGAAGAAGTGACAGTGCAGAAGAAGTGACAGTAGCAACCATTTTCTCTGGTTTTTGTCAACCAAGGGGCTCAAAATCTAGTTTAATTCTGCACGTTAGACTATTTCCAACTTTTTTTTTTCCTAACTTTTTAGTACTATCATTTTAGATTTAAACTTCATTTATTTAGTAGAAAATGCTTTTTTAAAAAATATTTATATTTTTTGAATTGAAAGAGATTTTATTTAAATAAATTAATAAAAAATTTATTATTTTCAAATAATATTAATATAATTATTAAAATATATTGAAATTATTTATTATTGAAATTGTTAACAATCAAAAATAATTATACTTTAATAATAATATTTAATACTAAAATATTATGTTAATATAAAAATACATAAAATAAACTTATTTCTTATTATTTATATTATCTATTAATATAATATTATTTATAAGTAAAATTATGTTTAAAAGTATTAATAAATAATTTTACTCTTAGACAGTTTTTTTTTAAATGTTTTCCATTTTCAAATTCGTAAGAAAATTTTCAAAAAACTAACATAATTTTTTATTGATCAATTAATTATTTTTCGTTAACCAGTCAATTTTTTATCAAATAAATACTAAAAAATATGAAAATTATTTTTTAAAAATTATTTTTCATGAAACAAACGGTACCTTACTATGTTTCCTTACTCCCCTTCTAATGAAAAATGATGTCTTAACCATGCATCATATGCAATCAACAAACAATCTTTTATCAAATATACAAAATTTTCATTATTCAAACTTTCATGATTTAGAGAAAATATTGGATGCTGCCATGGAGGACTCTAAGATGCCAATCCCCATGACTCCAAAAATATGTATTTTTTTACATAAAATATTTTGTATTTTTAGAAGAATTATACATTTCCGACCACAAATTAAATAATAATTCATACATCATCACCGTGGTATAAAGAAAGGTGGAAAAACAATTTGAACTAATTAAATTCATTTAAATCTCTCAGAAAAATAATGCCAACTTGCAAATTCAATATCATTATCGTTATCATAGCTGTATAATTAGAAATTTTGATAATATGCAGGTGCATATGGCTGATTATAAAAGTCTAGCTTGCGAAAGGCTGTTATTTGTTTATTTATTGGTCAAACTTTCTAGTAAGGATTTTATTGCCCTTTACTTCCTGTAGCTTGGCCTAAAGGCTTATACAACATTCAATAAAAACTGTATCTTCCAGTTTCAAACGTTGGTGTTGAAGTTGAGATCATGGAACTGCTTTCAAGCTGGTGTTATGATGGATCCTTACCAGAAAGTTATGTGATGCCACCTGAGAAAAGACCCGGAAATCTCATTGTTCCTTTAGGAGAATCCATTCCAGTGATTGATCTTGAGCGTCATGATCGAAACGATACAATTCAGCAAATTCTAAAAGCTGGTGAAGACTATGGATTCTTCCAGGTTCACCTATGGCATTTTTCTCTGCTCTTAATATTGGTTTCTTAAATTTTCAAGAACCGAATCATCTCTACTAATAATGGACCATACATATTTCAAAAACTGCAGGTAATCAACCACGGAGTTTCAGAGGATTTAATGGATAAAACCATGAATGTTGCAGAGGAATTCCATTCAATGCCCGGTTTGGAGAAGGAAAGGGAAAGCTCCAAGGACCCAAACGGAAGCTGCAAGCTGTACACAAGCAGCTATGTTTATCCCAGGGAGGATTTTCACTATTGGAGGGATGCAGTGACGCACCCTTGCCGTCCTTTAGAGGAATGCATTCAATTTTGGCCCGAAAAGCCAACTAGATACAGGTAAACTATCAACTCATATAAACTTGATATGATATCTGAAAAACTTTTAATTTTCAGCTTTTTGCATGAATATCCAAGCATTTTATGTGTTGCTTTGACAGTTTGACCCTTTTTCTTTCTGTTCATTTATTCAGAAAAGTGGTTGGGGAGTATTCGGTTGAATTATGGAAGTTGAGTTGTAGGATTATGGAGTTGATCTGTGAAGGATTAGGACTTAGCACTGGATATTTCAGGAACGACCTCACTCAAGTTCCAAAAATCATGATTAATCACTACCCTCCATGCCCTGAACCGAGTTTGACACTGGGATTATCTAAACATCGCGACCCTTCTATCATCACCATTCTTCTTCAAGGCCGCATACATGGTCTTCAAGTCTTCAAAGATGGCCAATGGATTGGCGTCCAACCTCTTCCTCATGCCTTTGTGGTTAATATAGGCTACCTGTTACAGGTATCCGATCAAATAATTTGTCATTGTCATTTTAGAACCATGACAAAAGAAATTATTTTTCGATTTCTCATACTTTTTTTTTTTATGGCGCGACTTCATTACTTGTTTAACATATGGTAAAATTTAGATTATCAGCAACGGGAAACTCAAAGGAGCAGAACATCGAGTCGTGACGAATTCAAGAGATGCTAGGACAACTATTTCCTTCTTCGTTTATCCTTGTGATCAGAGTCTCATAGAACCGGCAAAAGCTTTGGTCAATGCATGCAATCCTGCAATTTACAAGGCCTTCAAATTTGTTGACTTCGTTACTGCCTTCATCCTCAAGCCTGAAAATAATGGTGAAGCTGTAAAGGAGCTTATAACCGCGCCCCACACCCTTAATTGCTAGTCAACTACATTTCGTGAATATGTTTTTCTTTGTTTTCCCATTCCAACGAAGCATCTTTGTCCGAAGTCAAGTGAAGCTCATTCTAGTTCTCAGGACACTTCAAAACGTTAGACCTTAAAAGATTTTATTTTTCAGGTTTTAAATTCGAATCTTGAAATAAACAAAATGAGATTTATGAGATGGGAAAGGATTACCTCTTATTTTGTAATCCAATTTATGAGATTTATGAGCTAAAAAATTTGAAAAAGTCTTCAACCTCATAAGCATTAATGAGCAACAAAAACAAATTGTAACAAGGCTAGTGCAAACTAGCAAAGAGGTTTGCTTGGACAAATATTTCAGTAGTTTTGGGCAGTTTGATTTCATTTTCTTCTTAAATTTGATGGACCACTATATATATATATATATATGCTCTGAGGTCAACCAGTTAAAGAAATACTGTATCATATACATGGATTAGAGCTATAAAATTTGATAAATCATGCAAATGGATTTTTCCTATTTCCATGAATTAGAATAAATATAATTAAATTAATATTGAATTTAATTACCATGAAAATTTAAATAAACAAACTCAAAGTTAATCCTAAACAACAACTAAATATTTTTAAGAAAAATGCTACTTGCCTTTCTGCTTATTTATATATGACAATAATTTATTGGTCTAATTCCAACATTTACTATGAATTTGTATATCAAAGATATTGGTTGACCTCGCTTTTTTATTTTTTCACTAATTTTTTTATGTTCATTATTACAAAAGTCAATACCAATACAATAATTGAGATAAAAGAAGTAAAGCAAGCAAATTTAAAGTACGTAATTATAATAATAAATTATATTTAATAATTCATATATTTATATAATATTTATATTATATTAAATATATATAATAAAAAATATTATAGATGATAAATTTTTTTATTATTTTCGTTTCACGTTACTATGTCTTTAAGCCGAGAACAACTCATATCTGTACATTTGAAGAAAGTCGTAGAAGGGGGGTGATTGAGAAACTGGGCATGCTGGCCAGAAAGAGAAGATGGGCCAAAGACTGCCAGTCAGTCTTCTACAAAGGCCCATACACATTGCAGTAGGCCCGTAATTAACTCTAATTACCTTTAACAAAACGAAGACAGGTCGTTGGTCTGGTCGTTTGACGAGGATCATCTCAACCGTTCAAACTTGGGACCCCACCTCGTTCGTTACAGCAAGATTTCTCTGTCTCCCACCAAAAAAAAAAAGAGGAAATTTGTGACTTTCAAGTGTTTAGGTCTTTCTTTAACTCTTCCATTCCAAAACCTTCAAGCAAGTCAAAGAAACAGTAAGAGGCAAATTTGGGTTTCTTGAAACCGATCCGGCATCCAAAGGTAACTATCTAACTCTACTGGTTTGGTTGCTTCAAAAATGAATCAAGAATGAGAAGGAATTTCTGAAATCTGAATCTAATATTTTTGCTTCTTTTTGGTCTTGACTTTAACTATGCCGGTGATACTTCTTTTTATTTGATTTGATTGAGAAAAAGAAAAGCTTTTTTTCATAATCAATGCTGGACTTCCTAGTTTGGGTTTGGGGGTGATCAGAATTGGCAAGTTTTTAAATGGATTCTGTGAAGTAGTGGTTCTCTAATTACCAAAAATCGAAGAAGTCTGGATTTTGATGCTTAATTAGTCATTGGGTAATTGTTCTCGTGCTATTTTCAGGTTTTTTTTTTTACAGGTTGGAAACTTTTCTTTCTTGTTCAAACTAAAGAATATGCATGTAGCTCCTTGTATTCCTTTTGTGTATTTTGGGCCTTTGTGCATCTTTTTTTTTTTTTTTAACGCACGGTATTGTTTGCAACTTAGTCAAAAAAAATTTCCATGCCTATTCTTCTTCCTGTATTGGAATCAATACAATTCTATACCTGCTCGGTACTTGCTTTCAATAACAAATTCTCTATGCATTTGGATATTTCCCTGAGGCAACGTAACGAATTATTAATTTTGGACTTGAACAACACCCTCAGCTCTAATGCAAGGAGTTTAAACGTTAGCTTAAATTTTGCCAACTATCCTCAGAACATTATGTGACGTTTTTAATGTCTAAACTCTTCAGCCATGTTATAAAATGTTCAAAAAGCTAAAATATTATTTAATAGTCACATCATATCTGATTGATTAGATTGTCAAATTTTTCCATACATATATTATGTCATGAAATTCTTTTTCTCCTCCATTTTGACAGGTCTTACAGATTTCAAATCTGTATAAGGTTTTGATATGGAGAAAATTAGTACGAGAGTGGTCCAGATATATGGCAACTTAGTTAGTTTCTTGCGGAAATGCATTTTTTACATTCTTTCTGTTGGTCCCATACCTAATCATATCGCATTCATCATGGATGGGAATCGGAGATACGCAAGGAGGTGGAATTTGATGGAAGGAGCTGGCCATAAAGTTGGATTTTCAGCTCTCATGTCTATGCTCAGGTACTGCTATGAATTTGGTGTGAGATACGTAACAATATATGCCTTCAGCATTGAGAATTTCAAGCGAAGTCCTGAGGAAGTTCAATCTTTGATGGACTTGATGCTAGAAAAGATTGAAGAGTTACTCAAGGAAGAGAGCATTGTCAATCGTTATGGTGTTAGAGTTTATTTTTCTGGGAACCTGAAACTCTTGAGTGAACCAGTTAGGTTGGCAGCTGAGAGAGCTATGCTTGCCACTGCTAAGAATTCCAAAGCAGTGTTGTCTATTTGTGTTGCCTACACTTCCACCAATGAGATTGTTCATGCCATTCAAGAATCTTGTGAAGAAAAATGGGATGAAATTACTGTACTGAATTCAAGTGGAGCAGGTTGTGGTTTAATCAGACTTGGAAGGGATGAACAGGATGAAGGGGATCACCTTATAAAAGTTACTGATATTGAGAAGCATATGTATATGGCAGTTGCAGCTGATCCTGATATCATAATACGTACTTCTGGTGAGACACGCTTAAGCAATTTTCTTTTATGGCAGAGTGCAAACTGTTATTTGTATTCTCCTTCAGTGCTTTGGCCAGAAATTGGTTTTCGTCAATTTCTGTGGGCCATACTGAATTTTCAGCGGATTCATTTTTACTTGGACAAGAAAAAGAAGCAGTTATAAAATATTTCCGGATGATGATTTGATCTGATTATGGGAAGTCTTTTATCTTCTTTAGTAATGGTAACAGATTCCAACATAAGCTTGGACTTGTTTTTGGCGTCCTTGCTGTTATATACCTGAGTATACAATAAACCAGTTGATTACATTTGGAGGAACTCCTTACATGCTAAGATGTATGTTAGCAAGCAAAGCGCTTCTGGGTTATATATGGACAGTATACTCAATATGCTAAGGGGATGGTGATAGATGGGAGAGCAGAGAACTTTATTATAGTTTAGTTGGAGGTGTATGATCAGATCTGTAACCCATGCAAACTATCTGTTTACATCTAGAACTGATGATTGTGCTATTTCTTTCTCCCGTTTTTTCTCATTTTTTCCTGTTATTGTTAAAGATGAGATATTAATGTGCTTGGTAGGCCTAACATGGTTGGAGCTTTTATGTAAAACTGCATTGATACCTGGTTCAACTTGGAACTAATAAGGTATTGCTCTGTTACTTGAACTGTTTTTGATCTTATATTTAACAATTTCCACGAAACTCAAAGCTGCCCTTTCACTTTCATATGTTTTGCAGAAATAAGTATGCTGCTTCAAATTTACAGAAATTAGTAGAATGTAATAATCTGGCTGGATAATATCTTGGGTTGAAATTTGCCTATTAGACATTGTTTTAACATGCTGTTTTACTGCTAACTATGTTACTTTGACTCGGAGGGGAGTTTCGGATACAGTTATGAGTCTAACTGAAACGGGTATGTGTCTAACCATATGTACGGTAAGAATTTTTTAAAATTTTCCATATATTTGGAGGATCAGACCTTTATATCCGTGTCTGTCGGAAGTGTCGGATGCATGTATTTCAAGAAAAATGAAGAGTCACAACAATATAGACTACTAAAATTGGCTTTCTTGTTTTAAAAACATACAACTCAATTTCTTCCCAGCCATCGAAGTTTTCCGTTATATTGATGGCTTAAGTTACGTCATTTGCAGAACCTTCTGATGTCTCATGCAGAGCAGGTTGGTTCTCCCTATTTTTACCCTTCAGAAGATTGTTCTTCCCGCTAATATCTTAACAACCTTTTTTTTTTTTAATTTTATCCTTAAATTTTCAGTTGTGGAAGTCTTTAATCCTTTTTTGGTATCATTTCATCAAATTCTGTATGCATTATATCTCAATAAATGCAACGGAAAGGAAACTGGGCTTGTTAAAGGTGCTAGAAAAAGAGCTATGATGAGTTAGCTACTAAGACTCCCATGTCATGTCTTGTTTAGAGTTTAGATCATCCTAAATTTGGAGCTTTTGTAATTATGTTGATTAAAATCTCAGTGCAGTCGGTTATTACTATGGGTAGTTGCACGTATCATTTGGCTTTTTTTTTTTTCCGAGGAAGATATGGTTTGTACTTGCATGTGATTTCCAGGGAAATTCCAGCTCTTTTAGTACTGTAGTCGGATGATAATATTTTATTACGGTTTCAGATTCAATGTAGAGGTAGAAATCACTTTAAAATATTTCCAGTTCTTAGGGAATACTGTCTCAAAGAAAGGGGGAGAGGAGAAGTTGCTGCAAAATCTTGAGGAAACTGAACCTCAAAAATGATACCAATTATTTGTTTAGCGTCGGCCATATGGAGCCCATGTTGGCAAGGCATTATTTCTCAACCATTTGCTCTGTTTTTCTTTGCCCACCACCCCCCCCCCAACCAAGTTGCTCTATTCCAGGTTTCTTTTTGTAATTCTCAGCTGTCAATAATGTGGAAGAGCAGCCAGGTGCATTGTACTTGGAACATGGAATAGCCTTCATGGTAAAAAGATAGTATATAAAATTTATGGTGCATGCATGTTAATGATAACAATCTCCTTAGAATTCCTTGTCTTTCCCTTTCTACTAGATGTTATCAGGAGCTTTCGCCTATCAATTATCAATATTCTTTTTTATTTCCATTTCCACATTTTCAATAGAAGAAACGTTTTTCCCGCTGTTCATAATGGTCCCCCCATTCCTCTCCCTAGCAGCCCAACTTCTATTTCTGATTTTGATTTCTAGAACAGTTGTTGCTGATTGCAGTTGGTTTCTTCTGCTTCTGCTTTTCGTTATTCTGATGGTACTTTAAAATTATCAGAAATATAGTGAACAAATGCTAAGTTCTCATTCATTATCTGTATTTACTGTTGTTCGGCTTAATGCCTCATCCGATAATTTGAGGGCAAGGGCATGTGCCAATTTACATGGGAGTTTTGTCGATTTGGTCCATGAAACGAAACTGAAATATAGAGGGGATTTGGGTTAATAATTCAAAGCCCGAGATCGGGTGAATTATTGGTACGGGGCAACTCCATTACAGCCTAATACCTAGCTATTCTTAAAGGAATTAATCAAAAGGCCAAGATTACATAATTTTAAGAGCAAAAGCGAATAAAAGGAAGGACCACCATCATGATGTTTTCATTCAAATATTGTATAAGCCAGAAGTTTATGGTAGTGGATTCCAGCAAATAATACCAATGCCTAGAGTTTTTAAAGCAAATCAGAGCCTTCACCTAGCAAAAGTAGTCTCAACTTTCAACTACATCTCCACATGTGTTTCTTTCTTGAAGAGATCAAATCTCCCTAAATTCGTAGCTTTTTGCTTTCTCGTCGTGGCTGCCTTTGTATCCATTGATAAAAGGGACAAGATACCCAACTTAAAATTTGGAGGAGAAAAGTTTGACCTACTCAAGCCTAGTAGCCTAGCTACGCAGGCTTCCTTGTAGGTCCTGTCTTGTCTTGTCAGCTTTGAATCACAGTTCAAACTAGGGGAGCCATTCGGAGATGTTCTATCTTACGTTCCTGCTGGCAAATATGTCTGGCATAATCCAATTCGATCAACGATGCAGTCAAGTCAAGTACTCTTTTTCCCCATCTCGTGGGCTTTAATGGTTTCTAAGAAAACCTGAAAACTGAAACCTAAGTGTCCACGTGTTAAGCGACTGAATTCACCTTATTTTTAATTAAATTTAAATATCAATTTTAATCACATTTATTTAATATAAATTTTTTATTAATTTTTTTTTAATTACAGTTTCAATAATTTTTTTAATCAAATTATAATAATTTTATTATTATTTTTAATCTCATTAAAATTATCTTTACCTTCCATTTAAATGGAATGGTTTTTTTTTTTTTTATCAATGGCTCTTCTCCTTGCATGAGACTTTTGAAACCAAATGGAACAATTAACCAGGACGAATGTTTATTATGAGCCTCCATTCCTCTCTTCCAACTAGAATCTCTTTTCTGAATCATCTAAAGCAGTATGGACCATACTTACTTAAACATGATAATAGTATTTGTCTGCCCCATTCATTCTTTTTTTTTTAAATCCCACGAATTCAAACTAACAAAAACTTTCTTGTTTACTGCAAATTAAACTCTAATCAATCAATTACAGGATCCTTTGCCTCCAATATCTATAATCACACCATTAACTATAATTTTGGTTCTTTCTAAATCCTACTACTTTCATTTTTCTTTTGTCTTCATTACTGTTTGTTTGAGAACTTTGATTCCATTGTTACGCTTCAATTATCCTCATCGAGTGACATCAGGAATCAATGGCATAATACCATGGTGACCAAACATGCTGACGCAATCAAAATAATCTCACCTCCCTACGCGAAAGCGTGATAATTATATTTATATATCAGACGAATCAAATTCTGATGTCACCCCGGAAATAGACTTGGAGAGTAGTTGCATTAAGAAATCAATCGTCCCGAGGACCAGATCCTACCTCGTTAGATACTTAGATCTATGTTTAATCTTATTACTGTTTCCAGATTTAACTACTGAAGCCTTAACTAAGAATAATGATGTTTTGAAGCTGACGATGAATTAAGAAACGTAATGGACTGACCTCACCGCTAGCCTCACTCATGCTACGGAATTAAGAGAAAATGCCCTACGAATAAAAGATACTTTCAATAGAAATATTTGTTTTATCCTAAACATTGTTGTTATGATTCTATTGAGGAATAATTAATTGAAATTATTAGCGCGTCCCTTGTGACATCACCACTAACTTCAACCTGTTTGAATCAACAGGGAAAAAATAATGAATTGAAAAAGAACGATAAAACTAAACATTTGCACACAATTTGTTTAAATATACAGAAAAAATGAACTCATCTTTCGTCAGTGCATGAATCATCCATATTCGTTGCACTAAAATATATGTCTGTGTCTGAAAGATCTTTGGGCTTTGGCAAGTTGAAAAGTTTTGGCATTAGTTAATTGGATGGGTTATGACAATCTTCCATTTGTTTAATGGCCCAATTGTGTGCGTTTGCCACCTAGTATAAATGCCCAATTGAAGCTATTCGCTACTGCTCGTTTTCAAGCTCAAACAACGCCATGGAAGAAGACAACAAGAAAAAAGCGGGACAGGGAGAGTCCGGCGTTCGCTATAGAGGCGTTAGAAGGCGGCCTTGGGGAAAATACGCGGCTGAGATTCGGGACTCGACGAGGCAAGGAGCTCGCTTGTGGCTGGGGACTTTTGAGACAGCAGAAGAGGCAGCTCGAGCTTATGACAGAGCTGCTTTTTCAATGAGGGGTCCCTTGGCTATTCTAAACTTCCCAGATGAACATATGGTTTCACCCACGGCTGTTAATTCTCCTCCTCCTCCTCCTCCTCCTTCTTCTTCTTTTTCTTCTTGTTCATCTTCTTCATCGTCAATGGCAGCTTCTTCTTCTTCTTCTTCTTCTTCATTCGTAGAAAATGTGGAAAATAAGAAAGACCATGACAAAGAAGTTCTGGAGTTGGAGTATTTGGATGACAAATTGTTAGAGGAACTTCTTGATTTTGAGAATAATGAAACCAAGAAAGAATGAAACAATTTTTAGTATTCTCAAAAGGGGTTGCAGACTTCCTTCTTTCCAAACAGGATTAGTTGAATCTTCTTCTGCAAAACAACAATACCATTCTATTCCTGTCGTTTAGCTAGAACTTGCTTCAATCCTAAAGTACCGGTTCAATTCACAGTTGAATGCAAGCCCTGGAGATAATAAGATTTCTTTGTCAATTTCTGTACTCTTATCTTTACTTTAAAATAGTAGTTAGAGAACTACATATCAGGGCCCTATATTCATATATATATGGAGACCCCAGTTGACGTTTGCATGATTTGGCTGAGTTTTAGTCTGTGTGCTTTATTATTGTTCTTTTTGTCAAACAAAAATACGTATCAATTGCCTTATGTTGAATCGCTGATGGCCCACTTGCATTGCATCATTCATCAAATCAGGAATTTGTTGCTTAAGTTGTCCTTTCACACAAGCATACGATTTTGACCTTGACAGCCGCCACGCGCTACTCTGGGAGTTTCCATCGGGTCTCCGTTTTATGTTGAAGAATAAAGAAGACAAGACTATTTTCCCTCCCACTTTTCAATAAAAATGAAGTTTCCATTAAAGATTTTAAAAAAATGAAAAATCAGAAACGAGTAAATGAAATTTCCCTTGCTTACAGTGGAAGAACACAGAAATTATTATTTCCATGGTTAATTAACCCATGATAAGAAAGCTAAAAGTTACATTTGTTCTATAAGCGTTGCCTGTCTTCTTGCTTTTCGAGGAGATCCTCTAACAACTTGTTATCCAGGCACTCAAATTCTATAACTTCACTTCCTCCTCCTTTAGGGGGATTTCCTCTAGCAACTGAATAAGAAGATGAAGAAGCTGAAGACGGTGGAAAGGTTGGATTCTGATATTGGTACTCGTTTGGGAAGTTGAGAATAGCTGAGTGACCCCGGAAAGCGAAAGCAGCCCTGTCATACGCCCTTGCAGCCTCTTCAGCCGTCTCGAAAGTTCCTAGCCACAACCGTGCTCCATTCCTCGTTGGGTCACGTATCTCAGCAGCGAACTTGCCCCATGGCCTTCGGCGAATTCCCCTGTATCGAACCTCTCCGTTTCCCTTCCCACTGTTCCTTGTGTTCTTCCCTCCTTGAGATGCTTCCATTTGTTAGGTGTTTCAAGTGTATAAATGAATCGAAGAATTGAGACTTTTCGATTTTGAAACTAATTTGTTGGCAAGAAATGTATGGAATGTTGGGAAAAATGGAAATGGATAGCCTTTATATATGACATGGATTAGGGTCATTCAAAAGGGGTCAATTAATGGCCCCATATACGCCATGACCAAAAAGCTGGGTCATACCTGACGGTTGGAATATGTGCTTGCTATGAAACTTCCTCGGATGAGGAACAAAAGTTCGATTTGTTCCACGTATTCAAGCCGGTAACCAAAACTACATCCGAAAACCATTGTATTAATAAAGTAATTAGCAATGTTTTCTTTTTTTTTTTCTTAACGATTAGTGGGGGGATCCAAAATATGTCAGGGTGCATGCATGGTGCTATTTTCCTTTGGCGGCTCTTACTTACTCCGTTGGTTTGCAAATAATGATGCTACTCCATTGTTACAAACTATAAAATCATACCATCTAATGATTATCGTTGTTAGCCGTCAAAGTGAAATATAATGATTTACGTGTACATATATATATATATACACACACATATAAGACTTGAAAGCATTGATTTAACAAGTTCATGTTATTTTATTTTCAGATTTAAAAATTTATGTCGGAAATTTACTTACTTGAAACTTGGATCTGCGCTAAATCTGGCATTATCAATCAAAGAAAGGATAAAAAGTGAAAAAAAAAAAAAAAAACAAAAAACTGGGCCAGTTGCCTCAGGCCGAAAAAAATGAGCATGAGCCCAGTCCGTTAACCCTCCATTTGGGATCATCAAATATTTATTTATATCTATTAAAATAAAGCTTTCTATAGTAATTTAAAAAAAAAAAAAAAAAAAAAGGCGCATTGTTGAGGATTGGCCAAGCTCCAAGTACTGGACCAAGCCTCTTGACCAAAAATTTGGGTTCTAATCTGACTACATCCGTCTGGTTTTGCATTCTGAGCTAAGCTTTCCCATCGGCTTAGGGACCCAAATTCATTCAAAATGCCCTATCAAGCTTCAACAAATAAAAGGTTGAAAGTGAGCTCAAGAAAACAGGCCCAAACGATACTTGAGAACTACTATTGACAATTCCTTTTCAATCTCCTCTTTTATAACATCAAACAAAGATGTCGAAATTCAAAAGGCTCATATTTAACAAAAAGCCAAATCAAATTCGAAAATATTTATAATAATGCAAAATCTTATAACAATCACAACAATAAAATGTCTGAAATTCAAGCCCAACCAATTTGAAAGGAAAACCACAACCGACGGCTGAGACATTTCTAGGTTTCAACAAATACAAATATAGTATATGCCAAAATTTTATTCTCAGTTTTTTTTCATTTATCTTTTTGAAAAAAAAAATTGTAACAAAAAATATACAGTCAAACGGTTGATTGGATGTGTAATCAATTCAGCATTACCGAATTTATGCCTGATGATGGTAGGAAGAGAACATAAGAGCATTTTTGCCACTTCTTTGGCCTTTTTGTTTTAACGATATAAGTCGTCAATATTATTTACTTTAATATATGCAATTCACTATAAGATTTTTTTTTCTTTTTGGTAAATTTATATATTACATGGTATTTTCATTTGGGTATTTTATAAAATATTAATTTTTTTAGCTTTGAATTTCAATTATTATATGTCACAACACGTAAAAACAATAAGTATGACAATATTATTTTTACCAAAAACAAAATATATAGTTGAACAAATTATTATAAGTAGTTTGAATATTAGAATTAAGTCATTAATTAACAAAAGTAATTCAATGATAAAATTAGTGGATGTTATTTTCTATCCAATAAATTAACATTTTAAGATAAATGATATGAATAAAATGAAATTTTTACATAGAAATCAAGATATTCCCATTTAAAATTTAATAAATAAATGATATGGATAAGCTATTTTCCAGAAAAAGCATGGAAAAATTATTCTAAACATACATTCTTGAAGAGTATAGTTATAAATGAATCCCTTACTATTGAAATTAATTATGATGACGATTAATTTACCAAAGAAGAGAAAAGGCAGAATGATCTTTCCTATTTCTTTGTTTCTTTTCCCCTTTTTCTTTTTATGAAATATCATATCCTTTCATTCCATTACATTTCTTCTCCTTAATGCAAACAAAACCACAAAGGGGCAAACGCCTAATGTGTCCCTTATCTGTAGGCCAAATAAAGCTATAAAAATAACCATATCTACATAATTATGTTCTCTTTTCCGTCATTGGACAAGGAAAAGAAAGTTTCTCTCTTTTTGTCTACCTCATCATCATCATATGTTTTGATTTCAAACATAGTTCCTTTTGCTCTCTGATTTGATGTTGTTATTGCATGATACGAGGTATCTCTCTCCAACAACTTCCTAGAACAAGCACATATTTTTGCCTTTCCTTCAGGCCTTGGGGCGCAAGAAAAAGAAAATGATAGTAAAGCATTGGAAAACGTCAAGGTAATCCTCACTTTTCATTCAAAAATGATCAAATAATTATTTGTTTCCATCTACTCCTATTATTTATTGCTTAAGGAATTGATTAATAATTAATTAAATTTTATACAGTTTAATTATCTGCTCAAAGCAGTTGTGTAACGCATTTGGCTTCGTATTCCATTATGGGTGACATAGCTCTGGGACCCCGATCTAGATTCTGTTTTCCCTACCGCAATCCAATGCCCTCAAAAGTTATCATTAAAATTAAATTTCGTGAATTTCATTTTATGTTGAATTGATTTTATTATGTTTTATTGCATTGATTAATTTATTTATTTGATTATTTAGTGATGTAATATAATTTTATAAAAAAATTTAAGTCAAAACTTAAACAAAATAATGCAGCTTAATTTCTTAATCCATGCTTTTCAATTAATTATATATTTTTTTATAAAATTACAAGTACAAAAAAAAATTTTCGATTATAATAAATATTATATTCATATATAAATCAACCAAAAAATGATAAATAAATTTAATATAAAATTGAATTAAACTTACATTCAATGAAACTTAAATTTTAAATTTTAAAATATCTTCTTTATCAGTAAGTCGAAAAGTCAAAACCTCGTTAATCAATTAATTATCATAATTTTTTAAGCAGATGGTAGTCGTTTTAGACCTTTGACGAACAAGTTAAGACTTTCAAACTTCTGACGAAGTTTCTTGGGAAATTAAAAACTGCATAGTACTTCATTCAATTAATTATTTTGGCCTGTCATTTTCGCATAAATTATCAAAATAATCAAAACGTTACAAGTTCATAATCAAGTCTGGAGATTAAGAAGTGATTTTCGATAGTCTAAATATCAATAGGATATTTCATTGAAAATCTAGGTAATCCTCACTTTTCATTCCAAAATGATCAAATAATTATTCGTTTCCATCTACTCCTATTATTTATTGCTTAGTGATTGATTAATTAAATTTTATATGGTTTAATTACCTGCTCAAAGCAGTTGTGCAATGCATTTAGCGCCATATTCCTTTCCGAGTGACATAGCTCTGGAACCCCGATCTAGATTCTGTCATCCCCACCACAACCCAATGCTTTTTAAATTTCCATTAAAATTAAGTTTTATGGGTTTAGTTTAAATTTATGTTGAATTAATTTTATTATGTCTTAATTTATTGATTAGTTTATTTGTTTGATTATTCAATGATATACTATTTAATTATGATTGTAAATTGTAGTAGTAATTTTATAAAAAAATTAAGAATCAAAACTTAAACAAAATAATGTAGCTTAATTTCTTATTCCATACTTGTTTCCAATTAATTATATATATTTATGAAATTACAAATACATAAAAAATTATAATTATAATCAAATATTATATCTATATATAATAAATTACTAAATAATTATCAACAAATTAAATATATCTAGACAAATTAAACATAAAATTGAATTAAACTCACATAATGAGACTTGAATTTAGAACTTTAAAATTTTAGAACTTTCTCGTTATCACTAAATTAATATCCCATTAGTCAATTAATTATTATAATTTTTCTCATATGATATTCTGTTTAAACCTTTGACGAGGAATTAGTCAAGACTTTCAAACCTCTGACGAATTTTGTTAGGAAATTAAAAAATGCAAACCACTTCATTTTAATGGATTATTCAATTAATTATTTTGGTGTGTCACTTTAACATAAATTATCAAAATAATAAAAAAACGTTACAATTCTATAATCAAGTTTGGAGATTAACAAGTGATTTTTTATAGTCTAAATATCAATATGATATTTCATTGAAAATCTATGGACCATTCTTGCTATTTTCCTGCTTCAATTATAAAGTACTTATCTATTATGGCTCCAATGGTGTGTATTAATCTTGTTTTAACACTATGTAATAAAAATGTTTAGTACTTGATCGGTCTCAAATTAATTAGTCATGTAAAAATATAAAAAAAAATTATTAAATTTGATAATTAAATAATGAAAAGAGATTAACTTACATACAAAAATTTTATATTTTTTAACTCTTAATTTTAATAAGATAATTTTTTTTAACTTTAACATTTCGGACCTTCGGACCTTTTAATATATATATATATATATATATGTATATTTTAAAATTTTTCAAGGGGATATTATAGCAAGCATATAGCAAGGCTCTTTAAAGTTTTATATAGTGCAAGGACGAGGGGCTGTCCAATTTGTGAAAATTTAAAATCTAAAATCTTAAATGTCAAATTAAAGTTACCCAAAGTGCATAACTAAAGACAAAGTTGAAAAAAGTTGTAACATTATTAATATGTGTTGAATTATGAAGCAACATGCATGATGAACAAACTATATATCTCTCTTTTTTTCTACTTCTCTAGAAAATGGATATAGCGAAAGGATGATGATGAATAGATTCATGCACTTGCTGACCTGATTTTAGGTCAGGTGCGACGCATTGAAGTATAATTGTTTGGCCAAAAGGAATATGCCACCAACTAGCTATGAAAAATATGTGAATTAATTAGAAAAAGAAAAACCAAGGCAACAAAATAGCAACCTTGTTCAGTTCAGGCACCTGAATTTTAACCCACCAACCTGATCAACCCAAACGCCCGCAGAAATTAGAATCTTCTTCA